TAGTACGGAACTCTCAACGTTATTATTTGTTTGCAGTTGATTTCAATAGTAGTTCGAAGGACAAATTTTAATACCAGAGATGTAATCAGTTCGCTTTCTATTTATTTGCAGTCATTTCATCTGCTTGTGTAAAGACAATTGCTACTGTCAACATTATGTTGCTGTTGTTTACCTTAAGTCGAACTTTGTTATCGAATATCTGACATCCTGCTATTTCGTTCTGTTAGGCAGCTTTTTCTTGTCGTGTCGTCGACGAAATTGTGTATTTCACTGAATGAGCTACCGCAGAGAAGACAGTAACGCACTTTAAATATATTGAAAGTAGAACAATTACTCCGCGGACAATCTTGTGTTTTAAATTTCACAGTGGTATGTAAAGGTTGCTTTAATTGGAAAGCCTCAACACGAAAAAGCAAAAAGGATTGGAATGTCCCCACTTCCAAAAAAATCCTGTCGAGGGTTTTAACGTAAGGAATAAATTATGCAAGGAGAGCCATATCTTTTCCTACTCAGTCGGTCTGCAAACGCGAATTAAACACTTGAACCTTTTTCTTATATTTCATAACACGACTTTAATTCTCTACGCTGGGAGCAAATCGAAATTACACTCTCAACCCTGACAGCAGCGAGATTTGGAAAAGTAAAACATGACGAGAAACAGCGATAAAATATTCCGGAATACATTAAGCTCTCAATTGCTTTCTACGAATACGACAGTAAACCTCACTTGATGCAATACAAATATTATGTTTAGGGGGAAATTCTGGTCTAAAGGATATCTCCCTGTTATATGGCCAGAGAATTTAGAATTACTTTAGCAAATATTAAAAAAAATAAAATGCAAGAATTTCAACCAAAAGGTTAATTTTTTCAACTTAAAGACATTAAAATTCTTGATGTGATAATTATCCGCAACCCCCAGAAAGACATGTGATAGGCAGTTAAGGGCAACATTAAAACTGTAGTTAACAATGCCGTTGCTCCGACTAGAAACTTATGACGCTTTCGTTTTGCGGTTAGAATTAATTCAATAAAGGCGAGTTATATCGAAAGCAGTTTCACATACGTCCAAAATCTCGTTTTCTATATCGAGACAAATTCTACACAACAAAGAGAAGAGCTTACCTTTTTTCGAGAATTCTTCTCGTAACGTCTTTTCCCTGTTTCAGATCGAATTCATGGTTAATGCTGAAGACACGTATACCATCGCTTCCGACGTGAATGTCTACCTTTTTTAGCGTTTTATAGTCGCTTAATCTTCCGTGAAATAACTCAATCCCGTAGCCCTGAATACTGCAAGCCATGTGCAAAAATTCGATTTTTGACTCACTCACGGGAACACCGACTAACTTGCTGTGTTCAATTGCTGCATCCTTTTGAAGGTTGGAGGTTTTGGAGTAGACATTGTAAACAGAAATGGGAATGTATGATGAATATTTTGCCACCCGCTCTTGGCTGAAATCCCCGCTCTCTATATGAGCAACCAGAGCGCATAATCGGGCAATACTTTTCGTTTGAACGGACGACAAATCTAACTTTCCTTCGTTTATAAAGTTTTTTAATGTGAGATAATACTGGTGTCTGAAAGTGAAAGAAAATAATACACTTTAGTCAGCGATAAAGAAAACGAAAGAACACGCATATTTTTTGCTGAAATCATTAAAGGACAAACACCATCTGAGCTAAGAGTATATATTTCAGCACGGTTCAGTCGACAGGTACACAATGCAAAACATGCATCAAAATTTTCACCTGTATTGCTTACCGTGTAATTTCTTGCTGAAGTTCTTGTGGTTTGACGAAAAATTTTACCAAGAAATACAGTCGATACGGTGGTTTCCCGGTGAGCTGAGATGACATAGAATTTCTCAAATTCAGCCAAAATTGAGTTCCTTTCGCGCCACCGAATTTCAACCCGAAATAGTCTCGCTCGACAAGTTTTAGCTTTTCGCAAACCTGCGAAGATTGAAAACAATAAAATAATTAACAGACAAGTGTAAGGGAAAACGAGTGATTTCAAAAACAGCGAAAAATTCAACGGGTATACAGGTGTCTTGGGAATATTCATTGGAGTTTTAGGAGTCGCTGAGTTGTAATTCCTCACCTTCTCCAAACAATCTTGGCCTACAGCATTCTTCGGAAGGAATATTTCGTGAATTATCCCGTTTGGCTCCGAAATAAAACACCACATTTTGTTCCCGAAGTCTTAACTTCCTTTAGAACGAGTATAAAGGTTGTTTCAGCCTCTGCGGCTCGTCTTTTTCTGAAGGTTATATTCCTTCCATTCACCGGATATTCACTTACCAAGAAAGGCGACAGGAAAACAGCTCAATGTAAAGGCTTTGTGTATTGAATGCAAGCCAATCAGAAGCGTCGAACCACACAAGTCTCTTCATTTGCATAAATTAGCAAAATGATTACATATGAATTATTGATATCGCGTTGTCATTGGATACATCAACCTTTTCCTTCTTGGGCAAGTAAAAACGATGTTTTCGTTTATTTTTCGCTGGACGCTTTATCGAAAAAAGTCTGTAATTCCCATTTTAAGGAAGTCGTTAGCGTCTGTCGATATGTGTGAGTGTTTTTAAAGTAAAACATGGGAAGCGAAAAGACAACTTCCTTCGAGCCACACAAGTAATCAGGAACATTATTGAACAGCTGTACTGTTATTTGACATCAGTGCAGGCTTCATTCGCTATTTACAGCTCGCCTGTATATAAATAACAATTCACCTCTTTAATTATCGCGTTTGATTACTTAAGCTTTTTTTTTCACGCCACCTGTTGATTCAAGTTCGAGGGTTAACTACGCGTTGTTACAAAGATCCTTTTCTTTTTTTAGACATGCAACTTGACGTGACACGAGATCGTTTGACTGGATCGTCACCCAGAATTTCTTAAGATCATCCAAGCTTAGGATCAAATAAAAAATTTGAACGTTTCCTGTTAAAATTACTCTCAGTCGCGAAAATATATTTTGTGGTATTTTTCTTTGACATCCTTGGCTGGTTCAGTAGACTAAACTACGGTTCTTATTGACCAGTGGGGAGTGCCAGTAACATGGTTTAAGGTTTAAAGCCCCATTTGAAGATTTTGCCGGGCTAGTTGTCGCTATGACAAGTATGAAAACAGAGGCCGGCGCCACGTTGGAATGAGTTTGTTGATGAAAGTGAACTTCTCAATATGGCCTCTATCACCACTATCTACACGCTTCTTAAAGGAAAGTTTGGAAACATTTTTCTATGATCGTGTCAAGCTGGATAAGCCAGTTGACATAACTGACGTGTTCCGAGTATCTGAACAATATCTTAAACTGGAGACTTATTTGTGATCGAATGATGATAAATATTCTTTGCTTTTATGGGCGAAGACAGTTGAATTAAATTTTAATTCTATCCGACTTGGAGCTACGGGATAAATAATTAAAGACGAAACAGCGAAGTTTTTTATGAGTAGGAATAATTAAAAAGTTTCATCAGCTTAGCTCTGCTCAATCAAAGTTCTATTCATGTACAGAGGTTGATGAGATATATGCACTTTTTGAGGGTTTCTTTAAATCAACAAGTGTCCGTAGCACTCTGGTTTTGAAATTTGCTTTTAGTTAGAAAGAAAAAAAAAACCAGGTTGCGAAAACTTTTCCCACTTCCTTCATGTTTTCTTTGTTTCAGTTTGGTATTAGAAGACAAAAGTTATCCCCTCCCAAGATGAATAAAAGCAGTCAACCACCTACCGGGATTTCTCAAGCAAATTAGAATTTTGAATTACGAAAGGACGATATATCCATAAGGAACTTTCACCGTTCACAAAAAAGCCCCTTTTTGTTTCCTTACCCTATTCAAGCCACCTTTGCTAAAGAAAATTAAAAATTTCAAACAATCCATAGGGATAACAAGAGCCATTTAAATTTTTTTTTTATAGATGAAGTGAGGAAAGCACGGTATGATGTGAAGGATGTTATCACAAAATACAGAAGGTATACAATGATACATTCTCCACCGTAATGGAGGCCGAAAATTTAAGCCACAAAATTTGAACGTTAACATGGACAAATACTCACGCTATTTTTTAAAAGAGCACCTATTATTACGTAATTTCATAGATTTCCATTTCGCCAAACCTTATTTCGGTCATGTTTCGGTCGACGAAATGTGATTTGATATTTAAACGGAATCGCAGACGCTGTCAGTATATACTGGCTACACCCCCAGGCATAATATAGGCAGGTAACTAAAGTATAATCTCTGATCGTAAAAATCATAAAACTTGAAAATTTTCAGTTTATTCTCGATGAACTATACTCTTTCTGGTTGGGACGGTTCTTTTCTTAGTTATTTATTTAATGCACGAGCTAATGTCACAACGTCAGGAGGCCATGGGCTCCTGACAAAGTAGAGTTCGAGGAGACAAGGGAAGGTGGTTGAGAGAGAGGGAAAAATAACGAATTTTTTTTTTTATAGATGTTGATGTACATATCAGGCTTATAATTTTTTCCTTATAATGAATTTCCTTGAGTGAGTCTACATACAGTAGTGAAGGCTTCCTCTGCCGCAAGAACACAAAATTGATTAGGGGATTCTAATTGAACTTTGTAAAGAAATGATTAAAACTTAAAATAATTTACCAATACAATGCAATCACAGTCTTTTGATCTCACTGCACAGGTGCCCCTAGTTTGGTGCAAGGGATCCCGACCACTAGTACTGTGAAGGTCTGAAGATTTGTTAATCCGAGTGGTGTTCCAAAGTCCATTCCACTCTAATATTATCGTTATTCTCTATCAAGCGCGTAAGGCTACCTGGGAAAAAACTATAATGGCGTACAGAGACGAGATCGATGATGGTTTTGATGCTGTTGTTTTTCTAGAGGAAAGGTAGCATTAGACATGTTAGATACTCCAATACTTTGGCTAAACTTCAGAATACCCGGCCACATCATTTACATGTCATTGAATAAGAATAGCGTCTATTGCGTTATACCTCATTCTTCAAAGCCTCCCGACATATGTAAATGATGTGGACGGGTATTCTGAAGTTGCTCCGATACTTTAAAAATAGATCAGAAATAAGAAGAAAGTTTTTTCACTCTAGATGCTATGAAGAAGGTCACAAGAGAGGTTATCAGGATGGTCTCATGAAGGGTATGTTCGAGGGACGGCAACTGGGCTTGGTGAAAGGAAGCGAAGTCGGGGGCGAGGTGAGTTCAGTGGTGATTCAACTCACTTTGTTTTTATTAGAAAATAATTTGGCAAGATTTCCATATAACCCCATACATTAATTATGCACAGAGTATTGCAAAGAAACGTTTATATTTAGTCTTTACGAAATGGAATGTATAATTAAAATGTATGGGGTTATATGGAAATCTTTCCCAATAGCCTCTTCCTAAACCAGGAAATAGAAAGATTAATGGGTAAATATCCCTTCCAGGAGCTGTTTATGGACGGGTTATTCCCTGAGGAAAGGCTTATGATCTCATTTATTTACATACATTTTACATCACATTGGGTTAATTCATGTACATTCAAGGGCTGTTGTAGGATAAAAGGTAATACATAAAATACATAAATACATAAAACATAAATACATAAAACTTAAACAGATTTATAGGACTGACTAGTATGATCACTTTTCAGGTTGGATTCTATCTTGGATTTGTTTCTCTCTGGCTTGAAATTTTGCTTGAAATTCCTGATGCAAAACAAAGGTATTGATTTATGTCATGCAAAGGCTTTAAAAATAATTTTTCTTATTAAAAGCATCTACTTTTGAATGGATCAGTTTACCCCAAATATTTAATTTCCTCTTTAATAACAGTATCATACAGTAATGATTTAGTAGTATGATGTCTTGAATATTTACTGCACCCAATTAACTGCTTGAATGGGTGAAACTAGCAAGGCTGGTCTTATAATTTAATCTATGAAAGGATTACTTTCAAAAAGGTTAAACAGGGCTTCATTGAATCTGTTCTGACAAACTTGAAAATAGAATTGAATATTGGCATTTCTTTTTTGATTACTGTAGTAGAACCCCACTAACTCAGACTCTTAAGGGAAACAAAAAAATTGGTTCAAGTTAGTGGAGGTTTGCATGCACTGATAGTAAATGACTGAAAAATGGAGTCAAGGGAAACTGAAACTTGTTCGAACTACCATAGGTTTGAGTTAACTGCATTCAAGTCAATGGAGTTTTACTGTACTGAGAGATTTTTTCTGTGTTATTTTGCATTTAAGATTTATTATGGACCCAAACAGGCATTTTTCCTCTCATTTTATTTTTTTTTATTCTTAAGGTGTATTAAGTTGTTAGAGACATTAAAGAGGATGATCTCTTCTCTCCCAATTAATGATGCTACAAATGAGGAGTTGTTTGTTAATCTTGAAAAGATACGGGCCAAGTATAAACAGGTGGGCACAAGTTTGAATTTCACTGACTAATAATAATAATATGTAGTATAATAATTTAATATTTATATTGTGCAAGTTGACATGTGAATATTATCAAATGCGCATCGCAACACTTTTCTGGGGACTTTGGCTGGACTGCATCAGCAGTTTACAAACAATTGAAGGAAACTTATTTGAAGATGCCCCCTCCCCCCAAATTCCCAGTAAACAGGCCAGACCACATCACAGTAATCTCGTGGGTGGGTTCTTTAACGTCCCCTGCCTAACCAAATTAACTAATTAATAGACGCAGGAGATGGAATGGGTGACCTGCTCAGTTTGCTTGGAAACTCTTAAGATCTGATAATTCAAACAAAGTTTATATGTTGTTGAACAAAACAGCATCCTAAAACAATCCTCAAAAATCAATTTTTTAAATAAAATTAATATATCTTTATCTCACCAAAATCAATTTTAATGGTATTTTTGCTCATTAAGTGGTCAATTAAAGCTTAGAATGGTGATTTCATCAATTTTTATAATACACTATTGTGTCCAACCCCCATGAAATTTCCCTGAGTGAGGGTAACCGCCTAATCCAGGTTTGATTGTAACATGGCCCATGTTATGACTCTCTGTTTTTCACCTATCGTAACCAGCCACTCCATATTTTTATTGAAATTCATGTGTTTCCTTGCACATTATCCATAATTCTTTATTATAAAAGTGAATGTTTATTTTGAGCTAACTGTATTTAATTTGTGTGCCAGGTCTGTTCACTGTTAGGTGTAAGCACTGACTATAGTGGTGGTGTGTCTGGAACCTCCTTCTGAAGCAAAGCTAGTCATCAATAAATGCCTAGGTGTCAGAATATTGGAATTCAAGTTCCTGGAAGGTAGATTTGTACAAAGTTCAAACAGTTTATTTCCCTTGCAAGTTCTCCTGAGTAAAAAAGATATATATATAGATATATATATATATATATAACAAGTTAAAAGGCCTCGAGCCAACAGTGACGCCGCGCCAGAAGGATCCAAAGGGATTCTCAGTCCAAACCTCAATAAATAGTAGGAAAAATATTGTAGTACACGAGGATGGACAACTTCGAGCTAAGAAAGACATATACTCAAATAAAAAGTCTAAGAAAGTTTAATAAAATACATTTCGGTCCAAGAACTGATGAAGGTCTCAGACCGAAACGTATTTTATTAAACTTTCTTAGACTTTTTATTTGAGTATATGTCTTTCTTAGCTCGAAGTTGTCTGTCTTCATGTACTACAATACTTTTCCAAGATATATATATATATAACAATTATTCGCCGAAGGCGAGGTGAATATCGTCGAATAATCCCCGAGACAAAGTCAAGGGGATTATTCACCGAACCTGAGGCGAATAATTGTTTTAGTATAATTTCAGAGCTAAACAACAGAGAAATTTCTAAAATCATAACATTTTAGTAACATTTATTGACATTTTATTTTAACATTTTATATAAACCATGTGGAGCGGTTTATAAAGCATCATATAAGGAACCGCTCGACCAATCAGATTGCTGGAAACTCTTTGATCAGCTCTGAAATTATACTAAATATATATGTAAAAAAAAAAAGTAGTGAATATTGCCTCCTGTGCACAGCAACTGGTTAGCAAGTACTTTTCACTTTTGAGTGGAAAAAGGTATCCCATTTATGCAATTTTCATTGGTTAAAAAATGTGAGCTCTTGGCCAGAATATATGTTTTAATTTGTTGTTTTGGTTTATGCAAAGACAGTTTTCTGCTATGGTTGATTATTGCTCATTGTCATTGGTTCTATATAATAAGTTGTTGAGAGGGCAGATTTCAGCTTTTTTGTTGAGAGTATAAGAGAGAGGTAATCCTTGTCACATAAATTCACCAGGGTGGAACTTGGTTTAATTATTTTTGATTTAATAATACATCTAGTTTCTTTATTGCTTAGAGGATATTTTAAAATGTGACCCATCTTTTATCAAAACTAGAAGTTTTCCATTTTGTGTTCTTAGGTGTGAAATTCTCCTCTTAGTTCAAGATTTCAATTTGTCATGGAGTGAAATTTTTTCCAAGGTTCCTGGCCCAATTTTGCAAGAATGAACACTGAATTGGAGCTTATGTGGGACTTTAACATCGACAAGGTGTATGCAGTTGGGTTACTACAAGGTTATGGAATCTGGGCAGAGCTTCAGACATTGCAGAACAGAAGCTGCCCATGATGTAGCATAAGGGCAAAGACAGGGCTATTACTATTTGTCTGGAGTCGGGGCCTTAACTGTTTCTTGTGAAGATGCAACTTTTCATTTTCAAGCATTCTTAGGAGTAAATTTGTATTTGCTTTCTTGTAAACTTCATATTTCTGAAATTTGCCTTGAACCAGTTGATAATTAGCTGAAGTAGCAGTCTTTTCACTTCCTTGTAAAGGAGAAGTGGGAGCTTTGGCCTTCCCCCATCCCTCCCCCCCACCTCTAAGGCTTTGTTCCTTTAATCTCATGTCTTTGCTCTCCTTCCTTTCATTTGGCAGAAAGGAAGAAAGAAATTTTGTTGTGCAGGCTCAAATATCATTTACTGAAACTGTCAGCGAACAAAATTAATACCATTCCAACATTACATAAACCTGTGTAGTGTTCCAATCCACATGTAACAGCTTATTAAACCAGTCATGAGGCCATACTTACCATTTGCTTGATAAATTAGGTTCACTCAGTCTTTTCAATTGGTTGCAACAGCCACCACAAGTTCTGGTACCCAGATTGATTGTTAGTTTTATCAGTGAGGAACATATGTATTGTTGGAGATAACTATGTCCCATATACAGGTCATATTTAATTGATATTATGTGCTTAGATAGACAGTGGGATAAAAAGGAGGAGCTAAAATACTAGAAAGTGAAATGATAGGGGATTAATGAATCCCATATTCAATGGTTTGACAAATGATATATAAATGGATTTTTCAGTCATTGCTTGTATTTTTCCTCATTCTTACAGAGCTCAGTAAAATACTAGCAGGGCCGTAGCCAGACTTCAGAACAAGACCAGGCAAGTTTCGGGTCTGGCATGCCTCCCCCAGAAAATTTTGAAATCTAGAGGCTCAGAAATGCTCTTTCAAGCATTTTCCATGGCACTTTTCTTTAGAAAGGAGTTTTACTGTACTGAGAGATTTTTTCTGTGTTATTTT